AGAAATTTGCAGCTGCACATAGAGTTTCATATCAGGACACATCTCTCTCTCTCACTTTGATACGTTTTAATGGAGGAGTACCGAGTTACTTTTTTCCATCATGCTAGTGCTTCGGCTAGACCAAAATATATCAAGCAGCCTGAATACATGTTTTAATTTAGACCCATCTTACTAGAGGTTTGATAACATTTGTAAATATTCAAATTTACCAATTCTAATATAAATATATTTCTTACCTTGCTGCTAGTGACAGTCATATTGCTTTGACCTGAAGAAGCTGATTTTTCCTGCTGTGAAAGGTTCTTGACCACTATTAATGTGGCAATAAGAAAACTTTGAAAAAGAAAATGATAAAGTTGGATAATAAAGAGAATTTAAACATTAATCTCTGATCAGTGTACGGCTTTCTGTTTGGACACATTTCTGTTAAATTGATAGAGCGGTCCTGTTGTTCTTGGAAACCTCATTGTCATCAGTTATGTTTCTATTGCATGCAAACGTGTCTTTAAAAGAAAAGCTGTTTGTCTTCCATCTGCTTTGGATAATCAAGCATGGCTCCTGATTCCTTTTGGAGATAAGCTGTAGGTAGGATATTTCTGAACTTACTGAAACCATAAGGTTACTTTCACTGATTGGTCATGTGATGTGGTTAGTACTTTAACACAGAAATATTCTGGTATGTATGGTTTTTATTTGAAGATGTTCCCATTTGTGTCTTTTTGAAAGACACCACCAAGTAAATTATTAAATTCTGGTATTAATCTGAATAAACATTGGCTTTAAAATCACTAAAAAGTTGTTTTAGGGTATTTAACATTGCTGCCTTCCCAGAAAAAACAAATTAATCTTATAGTTTAAGGAGCATTCCATCATATATTTTTTTTTAAAGCTAGTGTTTCAAAGTTTCAGCTGCTTACACTGAACAAAAGATTAAACCTCTTTCCCAACGCAATGGAACAAAACAGTGAAATAGCCTATTTGAAGCAGCAGATTATTCCTGTCAGTAAAATGGTTTTTGATGTGTTTACTGGAATAAGATAAAGACTGCAAAAAAATTCTAGAAATAAGTCAATATTTCTTAAGTTAGGTGTATTTAACCTTAATTTCAGTAGGTAAATAAGATAAATTGTCAATTGAATAAGCATTTTTACTCTTAAAATAAAATAATTAGATAATGTGCACTTGAAATAAGACGATGCAATTGTTGTTTTTTTATTTTGAATGTAAATTGTCTTGTCATATTGGTAAAGAGTTTTCGATTTTTTCCAGTGTAGCAAATAAAAATGTGATTCTGACTTAAATGGGGATTTCAATTAGTTTTCTTTGATCTGCAGACATCCCCGTCTCAGACATTTATAATATCTGGCCAGACAGTGGTCAACACCTGGGGAGCTAACACCTGGTGTCTGCCTAAAGTTATGTGAAGTGAAGAGAGGAATGGGAGATTCATGCGAAGGGGTTGTAATTCCAAAATACTCCTTTAATACTGTGGGCATTCAGCAACAGCTGCCACCTTTAAATAGAAAAAAATGTCCATAAATCTGTGAGGTTTACGGTGGATGGAGAGAGTGACAGAGAACAAAGCCAGGATAGTGTTTGATGGAGTAGGACGAGGGAATAAGTAGAGAAAGGTGAAGAGCAGAGTTTGATGGAGTGAGGAAAAGAAGGGGAAAAAGGTGGGGGAAAGTATTTGAGAGAAATACCTAAAGCAGAGACAGATCTGAACCAAAAGGAGAGCAGATGAAGATGAATAGACAGATGGAGACATGCTGTGTTCTCATTGCTGCAGCAGCAGATTGAATCCGCAGAGTGGAGTCTAAAACGGTCAGCAACAAGAAAAGACTAAGAGGCACCGTGGAAAACTGCATGGTAAAGTCATTGTACCACTGTCACCACTCCTTTATCCCTATTTTTATTTTCATTTATGCAAATACAAAGCCAGCAGATATAGGAAAGGGCTACTCGGTTGCAGTTATTGCACCTCATTTCCCAGGCAACCTGGCTTATATTTTTGAGGACTGCTTTGACAGCACTTGAGAGGAAAATAAGGTTGAAACCCACCACCTTCTCACAGGATGTGGGATGTACTGCTAAAGGAGCATGGCGTAACGCGTTAAAGTTTACTGTCCGTTTTAAATTTTGCTCAGCCACGATCAATGTGAACAACTATTTATAAATCTGCTTTCCTTTCGACTGATCCTGTGATTTACTCATCAGTTTATGGCATAAACCCTCTTCCAGACATTTACGACTGAGGGGCCTCAAAGTCCCACAAGATGTGGAGACTATTAAGGTCTATTCACACTCAATTGCCTTTATGAACTGCCAACTTCTTCACTTGAAAAAAATGATAATAATTGAAAGCACATGTAAGGCGGATAGAGAATGACACTCAGGAAGAGCAGTCAGTTTTCCAAGCTTTGGGAGGTGAGATTAGAGGACAAATCCTTCTGTCATTCATGTATACTTGATGTATTAGAATTAAAGTAAGTCATGTTTTCATAAAATATGTGCATTTTTTTCTTGAACTGAGCAGGTAAGTGAGATACCACTGGAACAACAATTTATATTTAAAATAAGAAGAAACAACAGCAGTCTCTTATTTCGAGTGTATAATATTACACGCATTATCTTATTTTAAGGGTAGAAATGCTCATTCCCTTGGCAGATCATCTTATTTTTCTATTCAAATGAAGGACAAATCCCTTATTTTAAAACATTTTTACTAATTTCAGACTGTTTTTGCAGTGTAGCATAAACAAAAGGATGAAGAGTTCAACGTGATGCAAAAAAATAAAACTTTTTAGTTTCTCATTGATCTAGTTCCTGTCACCATGTGACTTAGCCTGGAGAAATAAGATCTATTTCTGTCGGACCAAGAAATGAATAAGATAGCTTTAAACTTCGAGCCCAATATTCATGTTTGAGACTTTTTAAAGCAAGAAAGGAAGTCTATTGTTGAGCTGGCGTTTAAAATTTGATTATAAGCTCACAGGTTAAGCACCCTCCATCAGTACAAACAATAAAAAAAGCAACAGAGGGTGAAAAATCATAAGCACTGTTTGCACAAAGGTTAGCATCCTACAACAAGAAGTCTGCTTCCAAACTTTAGGCATCCTTTTAAATTGAAGTGTCAAGCAAAAAAAGTAAAAATACTTTGCTACATTACTTAAGTAAAAGAATTGGCTATCTATACTCAGAGGTGTCAAGTAACGAAATACAAATACTTTGTTACTGTACTTAAGTACACTTTTAAGGTATCTATGCTTTATTCTATTACTTATTTTTCTTCCTTCTTCTGACTTTTACTCATTACATTTTCACACCGTTACTGTATCTGTACTTTCTATTCCTTACATTTTTAAAACAAACGTTACTCGTTATTGTTGGCTTCGGTTTTCGTCATGTGTGCCATCCAATTCAGATCACTGGAGCCATCCACATCTAGTGAAAAATAGTGTGATTAGATGAGAAATCATCAGAAGCAAGCAGGTGTTCTTCAAACTGCAAACGTGAATTGTCTATGCCATGCTACAATGTTGGATTCAGAAAAAGATG